TATATTAGTATTGATAGAGGCCTGGTGCATGGGTGGGGGCTGGCTGGTTTGCCCTGACGGGTGTCCTGGATCAGGGTGGGGGTTCCCTTGGTGCATTGGGAAGCCTGAATGAGGGGCTGATGGCTGTTTTCAGGCTGGCCACACACTCTGGCAACTCAGGTTTCCAGCCCCAACTTTTGTTTTTTCTCTAGCCCCTCCTTAAGTGGTGGCCAGGGTGGGCAGGAAGCTTGGCTTCCTCCATCTTCAGGGGCAACCCAAGCCTCCTGCTTGCTCCAGCTCTGTGGCTGCCACTATCTTTGTTGGGTTAAATTGCATACTTGCTCCTGATTGGCTGGTGGGCATAGTGGATGTAAGGTCAAAAGGTTTCTCTTTTATTAGTATAGATATGCATAAGTCATGGACATGGGAAATAGGGTAATAAAAATCTAGGGGGGGTGAGTAGGGTATGGGAGGAATGGGGGGAAAGGGAAAATGGAAGATATCTGTAATACTATCCTATCTAATAAAAGAGTAATATGTATTAATAAACTGACCATCACTCCAAGACACAAGATGGCTGTCCCCATGTGGTCAAAGATGGCTGCCTCCATGTGGACACAGATGGCTGCCACAAGATGGTCTGCAGGAGAGGGCAGTAGTGGGCAGTTAGGGGAGTCCAGGTCAGCAGAGGAGGGCAGTTGGGGGTGACCAGACCTGCAGGGGAGGCAGTTGGGAGGGAGCAGGCTTGTAGGGGAGAGCAGCTGGGGTGACCAGGCCTGCAGGGTAGGACAGTTAGGGGTGACCAGGATGCAGGGGAGGTCAGTTAGGGGCAATTGGGCCAGCTGGGGAGCAGTTAGTTAGGGGCAATCAGGAAGAGGCAGGTGAGCGGTTGGGAGCCAACAGTCCTGGATTGTGATAGGGATGTCCAACTGTCCATTTAGGCCTGATCCAAGTGGGAATGGGTCTAAACAGGTGGTCGGACAGCCCTTAGGGGGTCCCAGATTGGAGAGGTGCAGGCTGGGCTGAGGGACACCCCCAGCTCCCATGCACAAATTTCATGTACAGGACCACTAGTCAATAATAAAAAATATATTTTAAAATGATAAGGCAATTTGATAACTTAAACCAAAATTAAAAGACAACTTCTAATTTCAACTTTATTATTACAATCTTGAAAACATCATTTAAGTCAGCCCTTTTCTCTATAAAAAGAAGTAGCCACATTTCTTCCTTATTAACTATATACTTGGAGAACTTACATCCAAAGTTAAAATCATTGCATTGATAAAATTATTATGTATATGAACAGGATCAAAGTAAAAGAACAGATGTGAAGAAAAGAAATAAAATGATATTAACCTTCATTGTTTAAAACTCACACAGAAAAACGATTTATTGATGAAACAGTTTGGTAAAAAGTGTGACTGGACAGAAGTTCTGTCTCAGTGGAAAGCTTTTGATCACTTTTCAGATACATCAATGAAACATGAACTGCACTTATCTCTTGAGATAACTTGCTTTGAAAGGCAGCTGAACATTCCTCCTTTCACTGAATAGTTTTCCTCAACAGCTTAGAAATTAAATTTTGTAAAACTAAGACATGCTCTGTGCAATGGATAAGAGTCATGTTATCAGCAGAATTTAGAGAAAATAGTGTGTGATTGATTCCAGTGGTTAGGCTGACCTCAAACACAAATCTTAATATATAAAGATGTAATAAGCAAATTAGGCCGGGACTCAGTAATGGCAGGACCAGACAGGAGGAGGCTGTGCATGCAGGTGAGGACCAGAGGGGAGATAGAGACAGACGGGTGCCCTGCCTGAGCTGGTATGGCAGCTCCGGTGGCCTGAAGTGGACACAAGCAGGGAAACTGGGAGGAGGGCCTGGGGCTGGGTGATCCACCGCACTGGCTAGGGCAGCTCCAGAGTGGACACAGGCAGGAGGGCAGGGGAGGCCTGGGGCGGAAGACAGATGCTGGTCCTGGTATGGCCCGACTCCTGCCGCAGCCTACTGGGTGCCTCCTCATGCGATTTCAATTGTGCACTGGGCCTCTAGTTGTTTAATAAATGAAACTTAACACCTTAGACAATCTGTGAAAGGAATCAAGAGAGGTCCAAAACAGGGGAATGCTGTTTCTTTTTGCAGCATCTCCTTAACATTCCTAAATGTCTTTCGGAATAACTAACGTTTTCTCCTGTTCAGGAAACACACTCTGTGCACTAAAAAGAAAATAAAACGAAATCAAAGCTGGTTGTTATCCATGGGGATGTGCAAGTAGCTATCATCAGGAATTTAAGATGGCATATTTTTCTTAAGTAGAAAACATTCAATTAGATTTTTGTAGCACTTTATACTTCCTTTGACTAAACAGCATACTAAGCAGTGCCTTATAATATACCGCCACGTCTTCCCTGGCTACGGGTAAAGAAGAAAGCTTGCAAAAAGTTTACTACCCTGAGTGTCTCTATGGGATTTCAAAATGAAAAAATACTGACATCAATGAAGGCATCCAGCTCATGTTATCAGGGCAATTGGGATTCTACTGATGGCACTAAGGTTCATAGAAAGCATCCCTAGAATACCAGAATCTACAGGGGGAAAAAATACACTTCATATTGTGGATTTTTTTCAGACCCAGATATAGTGTAGTTTAAATTGTTTCAATATCCAAGGAATGAGCACATGGCCGGTAGGTTTGAGCTTTGCTTAGAAATTCTAAGGCTGTCCGTCTTTTAGAACCTCCAATAATTAATGGTGAAAGGCAAGTGAAATTATAAAACTTCAACCCTAGATCAGATTCAGGGTGAAAAACACTGGGACAATTTTGGAATACATAGAAGCCAACAATATGGTATCCTATCTGGCAGCATACTGCATGGTAGCATTCACGTTTGGGATTTATTGATATTTATCTCCCCTCCATACAAGGCACAATAAAACCTGGCTACTGCATTCCAATGAAGTTACATAAGTATTCAAAGTATAGGAGTCTAATGAAGACTTAATTACAGATTTTCCTTCTCTTTGAGACATTAAAATGTATAGAGTTGCCAGTGAGATTAAATTATTTTGACCAGATATATTGCAATTGCTTGTACAAAGAAATACATGGAAGAATTACTCATCCTTATTTATTGTAATTATTTTTTTTTGTCTTCTAGAGTTCGTAAAATAAATAAATAAATAAGAAAATTAAAATGTCACTCAAAGTTTTTACAACAAAGCAGTTTGGAAGGGATGTATAAATATTGCATTACTGTGATAATAGATTCAAGGTCATGCAAGTAATGTATTGCATAAATGACCACAGAGATTGCTCTTTTATTCTACAGTGCTAAACTGAATTACTAGGCAAAATGTTGACGTAGCATTTGAGCTTCTATAATTTTAAAATATTAGAGCTTTTAAAAGACCCTCATGGAATTCACATCACAACATGCCTTACACATTAGGTAATGCAATTCTATCTTGGGACGTAACCCGATGGCATCGTCACACACAAACACATTCATCATGCTGTCCTACACATTCAAAAAGGAGAATGTTTCCCCTCGGAGTTAACACATCTCCCACCACATTATCATAGTCCTGTTGACTAGCAGGCAGACAAACTAGCTCAGTGTACTTTGAATATTTAGTCCATAGAAATGTAAGAAAACAGCTGTCACTTACGTTTTTGAGTCATCCCATAAGACACAATAGGGATTCAAAGTACCCTAAAAATAAACAGAGGAATAAATGTATCTTGAGTACATACATCAAATATTATAGGATTGTGCGAAATACAAACAGAATGGCAGATTTCTTATCTTGCAGTAAGATACTTCAAAGATTCCACTTCTGGGTTTTTTGTTTGTTTGTTTGTTTGTTTTTTGTTGTTTTTTTTGTGTGTATGTGTGTGTGTTTTGTATTAAAATCTACATGCCATTTCTTATATATTTGGTGACCCAGTTTATGAAATTCTTTTCATGAAAACAATTCATTTATTCCAAATACCATAACTCAATGTTTAGTCGTTTTGAAAACTGAAAGCGATACTCTCATCTACCACAAGGTTCATATTTTGATGATTTCTACTACATTTTTTTCTCTAAAATATTAATTCCTAATTGTTTCCTTTTAGCAGACTAAAGTATTTACAATGGGTCAATCAGAGTGAAACATTCAACGTTACACAATCACCAGCTCTGCCACTTCCTCTGCAGTCTCTAGTTGGTCAGCTTCCTAGAGGCAGGAGATGGTTGCATTTGTGTCCATGCCCAGACAGGTTGCAGACTTGTAACACCTTAATGAACAGATCATAATTGTGTGGGATCACATCTAATGAAACTCTGAGAAAAAGCGCTAAATTTTTATTCGGTTTAATATTTATGTATTTAATAGCTACCGTGATTTTTGGGATGACAAAATGAATTTTCCACACTGAATTCCAGGGAAGTACTTTAGTTTTTGTTGTTATTGTTGTTTTATTTCTTTCTCTCTCTCTCTCTTTTAACAAAAATCTTTATTGTTGCCTGTCCATGGTGGCTCATGGTTGAGCATCCACCTATGAACCAGGAGGTCACAGTTCGATTCCTGGTCAAGGCACATGCCTGGGTTGTGGGCTTGATCCCCAGTGTAAAGTGTGCAGGAGGCAGTCAATCAATGGTTCTCTCTCATCATTGATATTTCTATCCCTCTCCTCCTCTCCCTTTCTCTCTGAAATAAATAAAAATATATTAAAAAAAAAACTTCATTGTTGAAAGTATTACATATGTCCCCTTCTATCCCACTCCAACCCCTCCCCAGGCCTCACAGACCTTCACCACTCTATTGTCTGTGTCCATGGTGTATGCACATATGCATACAAGTTCTTTGGTTGAAACCCACCTCCCCTCACATCTTCCCTTTTATATTTATTGATTTTTAGAGAGAATGGAAGAGAGAGGGAGAGAGAAAGAGAAACATCAATGTGAGAGCAGAACATCAATTGGCTGGCTGCCTGCTTTACAAACCTTACTGGGAACCAAGCCTGCAGACTGTGCATGTGCCCTAACAGGAAATAGAACCAGGAACTTCCTGGTGCAGTGGATGATGTCCAACCAACTAGCCATACTGGCCAGGCCTGTACTTTCTATTTTGAAAAGAACTATTCTTATGAAGTATTATTTCCTGTCTGCTGGTCCACATTCATTGGGTATTATATTGTCCTTTGAACTTAATAATTCTTCCTCTACGTGATATCTTTAGATATCGGCAGATACAATTATTCCCCTGAAGAGTCTTCTCTTCTCTATTACACATACTCTGTTGGTTTCAAGTTCACTTCACTCATTTCCTGGAGCACACACTATAAATGTATTTAGAGGAATCATTCACTTGAGTCCTACTTGTACAGAACAAAGCAGGACTATTGCCTCTCCAATTTAGGTGCCATATTCTGAATAATGCAAGATAAAACAGTGTCAGATATTTTGGTAGCCTCTTTCTGGGCTTGACAAATATCACCCCCATTTAAAAATCTCTTAGGAGCTTTCTGAATCCTGATTTGGGCATTCCACACACTCACAATTGCTTCCAAACTTTGTTTCATTACAGGATTAAGAAATAAACATGATATATGTCCTCAGCCAACCAAGTCATTGATAAAATGATGAATAGGCCAAGGCAAGTAAAAGTTACAGTCCTGAAGCAGGCTGCTGGGTCCTTCTCACAGGTGGACATGCTCCTCAGTGTTAGGCAGCTGTGAGCCTGCCCCATTCCTCAGTTTTGTCCACATGCAGATGGTCACTGGGGTACATATGGCAAAGCAACATCTTTAAAAGTCTAGGCAGGCTTTTTGTGAAATGTAAGGGCTGCTTTCGGGGTTCATTCTAGAATTCCACTGGAAATAAAAAGTAAGCTCACTATTTTAAAATTTGTAAAATCTACCCCCATTTTATTCATTATTCATTGGGATTGGGGCATTTGACTAACTCCAATGTTTTAGCACCATTACCATTTTCCAAAATCCTTCAAAAAAAAATTAGATATTCTACTTTTTACCAAGTGCTCGTACCCCTTAACTATACTCTCAGAGCATAAAAACATAACCTGATAAAGGTTATAGTCTTATGAATGTTGATAAGTAACATGCATATGGGATGTTGATAACACAATACAAATGATATGCTCATATAAATGTCACCAGCCATGTTGTGTAAGGGACAGAGCATCAGGGCCTGTGTTAGAGTAAGTTTCATGGAAGCCACAAGTCCCTATCTGGATCTTCCAGGAGGCACAGATATGCATGTTCTAGGGAAAGGGGAGGAAGGGTATTTCCTATGGGTCTCTTCCTCGGTTCTATGAGACCCTATCTAGCTTTTCCTGAAGTATTGTAGTACAGCTCGTGGCTCCCTAAGAAATCCTTAACATAACTACAATGTTGTATCAAAGGTATGCTATGTTTATCTAGAGATTTGTTCAAAAGAGCTCAGAGCACAGCACAGAAAGTAAATTTCACTTGGGGTACCACAATGAGGGATATGGTAGTAAACACTTCATGGATGTAGAAACGAAGTGTGGATGGAGGACCTGAGATAACAGGTTCTCTAAATCCAGTTCATTTCTTCTTTTTTAAAATTTCTTTATTGATTAAGGTGTTACATATGTGTCTTTACCCACCCATTATCCTTCCATACCCCCCACTCATGCCCCCCTGGTGTCTGTGTCCATTGGTTAGGCTTATATGCATGCATTCAAATCCTTTGGTTGATCTCTCTCCCTTAAACCCACTCTCCCCTACCTTCCCTCTGAGGTGTAATGGTCTGATAGATGCTTCTCTGTCTCTGGATCTGGTTATGTTCATCAGTTTATGTTGCTCATTATATTCCATAAATGAGTGAGATCATGTGGTATTTATCTTTCTCTGACTGGCTTATTTCGCTTAGTATAATGCTTTCCAGATCCATCCACACTGCACTTCTTTCAGGAATGCCTGAGTTAGAGCAACTTAAATCTTTACATGAAACAATACCGGGTCTGAAGATAGGGTTAACATCTCAAAATTAGAGTTCATAACAGGTTACAACAAAAGAAAATGATTTAGAAAAAAAATTATATGAACTTAATTGTTTGGATATCCCTTTACTATTTACTCATGTAAGGAAACTGATTTCCACTTTCAGATGAAAGTATAAAGATGGGAAATACTTTTACTCTTAGCTCACGCCTTTTTAAAAATATATATATATATTTTATTGATTTTACACAGAGAGGAATTGAGAGGGACAGAGAATTAGAAACATAGATGAGAGAGAATCATCAATCAGCTGCCTCTTGCCCACACCCCACTGGGGATGTGCCCACAACCAAGGTACATGCCCTTGACCGGAATCAAACCCGGGACCTTTCAGTCCGCAGCCGATGCTCTATCCACTGAGCCAAACCAGTCCCGGCAGCTCACGCCTTTTTTAACCCTAAGTTTTATCCTGTACCTTCCTCACTCCTCACCTCTTAGATGCTTCTCTCTCTTGCTGTCTGTGAAAATTTGAAAACCATCCACGTGAGAAAATTATAGGCTCCATGATGCACCACTCAATCTTGTGTTTCTCTATAATTCTGGGACCTACACAAATGGCAGACACCACTCTGTGCTTTGTGAATATTCATTCTAGTACAGTCACTAATTGTAGGCCTATGAGCTAAGTCAATTATTTAAACACTAGAGGCGCAGTGGATGAAATTCGTGCATGGGTGTGTGTATCCTTCAGCCAGCCTGTACCCTCTCCAATCTGGGACTACTAGAGGGATGCCCAACTTCCCCTTTAGGCCCGATCCCAATAGAATTGAGTCTAAATGGGCAGTTGGACATTCCTCTCACAATCCAGGACTGCTTGCTCCCAACTGCTCACCTGCCTACCTTCCTGATTGCCCCTAACCACTTTTGCCTGCCAGCCTAATCACCCCCTTACCACTCCTCTGCCAGCCTGATTAATATCTAACTGCTCCCCTGCCAGCCTGATTGCCCCTAACTGCCCTCTCCTGCAGGCCTGGTCACCCCCAAACTGCTCTCTCCTTCAGTCCTGGGTCCCCCCCAACTGCCCTTCCCACAGGCCCAGTCATCCCCAACCTCCCTCCTCTGCCAGCCTGGTCAACCCTAACTGCCCTCCTTTGCAGGCTTGGTCCCCACCAACTACCCTCTCCTGCTGGCCTGATTGCTCACAACTGCCCTCCCCTGATGGCCTAATCCCTCCAAACTGCCCTCCCCTGCTGGCCATCTTGTGTTCACTGGGGGAAGGATCTTTGACCACATGGGGGCAGCCATCTTGTGTGTTAGAGTGATGATCAGTTTGTATATTACTCTTTTATTAGATAGGATTCCAGATTAGAAATATAAGTAAATAAATCTTAGTATGTGGATAGAGCACTCACTTGAGGAATAGAAGAATATGGGATAGGACATAAAATAAACAATGATGAATTAATTCTAAACATAAAAAAATCTAGCTAAATGGCTCTGGCTGGGAAACCATTTGTAAAATATTTCTCAATCGTACTCTATTACAAGATCTGTATGAGGAATTTACAGAAAATCAATAACAGGAAATGGTGAGTTCAAAGGAGAGCAGTAATCAAATGCAATGACACAAGCAATAGTTAAATAGGCAAGCTATAGAAGTGGATTTAAGTAGTGCAAGAAAAATATCTTTAGGTAAATGAGAAAAGTGGGCTAAAGAAGATTAATTTACAAAACTGTCAATGGACACAAAGTATTAAAACTGCATGTATTGAAAACTCTCAAAAGGATATGCTATTCTTGGAAAACTCATTTTTTGGGGGGAAAAGTGTTTGTTTTTTTCTCTTGACTCTATCCAAAATAGCGGTTTAACTCCTCTTAAACATTTTTACTCACCAGCTTTTAAGCACTTAAAAAGTATACCATGACCCAAGCTTCCCAATTACTATAAATGTTTGACACACTATTTTCAAGTGTCTTTAACAGTTTTTGCTATTTTCTTTTATTTCTCTGTTTTGACATCAATCAAACCAAAATATCCATTTAATAGTAGAATGCATCACTAAGCTTGGCAATATATTTCTATGGGTGGTTCTCTTTTTCTTTGGTCTAAGTAACTTTTCTCTTTTTCTTCTTTATAATGGAGGATTTGGCCTCCTTTCTAGTTCAATCTCAGTGATTCTAGAAGGATATTCATAAGCAAATTCATTTTCTTCCTTCAAAAGTATCTTCTGATTCTTTTTTCTTTTCCCTATGTAATGCCTTAAATAAATCTCACAATGATAAATTATTCTCACAAATCAATGAAATCAGAAAGGAAAGCCAGGAAGATGATCAAAACAAGTTCTTTCATTCATTTATTCATTCATGTAAAAATCACTTAGTAAACACCTATTATATTCCAGGTGCCCTTGGAGCCACTGGTTATACAACAGTGAACAAAACAAAATCCTGTCTTATAGATTGTACATTAATGAAAAGAGCAGAGAAGGAGATATTAGATATTTACATGCCATATATATATGGCATGTAAATATCTAATACTAGTGGCCTGGTGTATGGATTCATGCAGACTGAAAGGGAAATAATTAGAAGAAATATTTTAATATTGCTATTTTCACTTTCTTCCTCAGTGCCTGGGAGCTGGGTGGTAGTCCCACCCCATGTGTGGTGATCGGTGATCGGCAGGGCGATTGGGCCCACACTTGGCATGGCACCACCCGCTCACCTGCTCCACCATCCCGCTGTGATCCCACTTTCATCGGGCCCATTGGAGATGTGAGCACCTCCACTGCTGCCCAATGCCAGCGCCATGTTGTCAACACCTGCCATGTTCTGCACTGCCCTCTGGTGGTCAGTGCACATCACAATGAGCTGTTGAACTCCTGGTCTCTGGGTCACACTTCTGGTCAAACCATCGCCCAAGGAGACAATTTGCATTTTAGGCTTTTATTATATAGGACTAGAGGCCCGTTGCATGAAATTCAGGAAGGGGGTGTCCCTCTGCCCAGCCTGTACCCTCTCCAATCTGGGACCCCTCAAGGGATGTCCGACT